TAGTCAATGGTGATTTCATTGCTCGGAAATAAAATTATTTTAGCTTCAGTAAAATTTTCTTTTGTTAGTCAAAAGCTATTTTTTTTTCTTTTGGTATAAGATAAGAACGTCTAGAAAAGGCATCAAACAAATCTTATTGTTTTCTTGGTCAATAAGTGATATTGATCTCGGATCTTGACAAAGACATAATCCAACAAGACTAGCGACGATTCAAAACACATCTTGATATGAAATACTCAACATTTTTGTGATCCATATATATGGTGACTGGACTTGAAGTGCCTTCTAAATGATGATGTCATTCTTCAAAAGAATCCACAATTACAAGAAGTTCCTTGTCATGGATCTCATAATTAATCTCGGCTGCTGAAAATTTTCTTGAATGAAAAGCTACTAGATGAATTTTATCATCTTCTCTTATTTATGACAAGACTACACCTAAGGCAAAGTCAGATGCATTTGTCTCTATAAAAAATGCTTTGGAGAAGTTGACACAATGCAAGATTAGTACAGAAGTAAAAACTTTCTTCAAGCTTCAAATGATGTTTCTGCTTCTTATACCACTCGAGCTTGTCTTTACAAGTTAAGCACGTAAGTAGCATTATAACTTGAGAAAATTTCTTCATGAAGATTCAATAGTAATTGACAAATCTCAAAAAACATTGTACATCTCTTATTATTTTTGAAATCTTCTAGTCTATGATTGTGTAAATTTTTTAGGATCCATTATTAGACCATTGTTTGAAATGATATATCCTAAGATGTCAACTTTGAATAGTGTGGAATATACACTTTTCCACATTGGCATACAATCCCCCATCTCTAAATTTTTGTAACACATGATAAACATGAATTTCATATTCTTTTGTTAAATAATTCCATATGCTTTTTTTTTGCAGCATGCAAAAAAACTTTTGCACCTACAAGTACAGGTTTGGCTAGATTAGACTCATTTCTTTCTATTAAATTAGAAAAACTCTTAATGATGTTTGAAGAAAAGTCAAGTTTACGAGAAATCCAATCCATCACAAGATTATACTTCTCTAGCCATGATAAATCTAAAATGACTGGATTAGAAGAAGATCTAATTATATTAAAAATTACTCGACTATTATGACCATTTATATTTATAGGAAGTATTTCATGAGTAAAATCTCTAAAAGATAATGGATGACCATCTATAACTTCTATATGTGCAAGTTTAATTTTTCGTACTAACTATATATAATGACTTTTAACAAATTCTTCATTTAAAAAACAAGCTGAGGCTCTTAAATCTATTTAGGCAGAGGCTTTGTGATTATTAGATCTTAAATGCACATCTATTGTAAAACAAGAAGAAGGTTTTGATGAAAGAATAGGACCTTTATTAGAAATTGTATAAGATTCTAGCTACACAATTCCTATTGTAGTTGTACAAATTCGTTTATTGACATGTTTTCATCTTTGACAACAATACTCTTTATTTTGTAGTTGCATTGTTTCTTTGGACAATATTGAGTACTAAGATTAGATTCTCTACAATATAAATATAGTCCTTCTTGATGATAATAAGTCTTTTCTTATTTGGTAGGAGGTTTAAGATGTACTGAATCAATTTGCATGTCTTCTACTTCCAAATGTTTAGATTGAGAAGTTGTTGGTGTTGTCATTGACATTTAATAATATTGAAGTTTTCTTGTGCAATTCTCAGATCAAAACTCAAAAAGCCGATTATCACATTTCACAACAAAGAAAAATGCTTGACTCAATTTCTGAGGATTAGGTAAATTGAGCATCAATTTCTTTACTTCGTATTGTAATCCATAGAGAGATTGGCTGATGAGTGCTGCATCATCCTACTTGATATTTGTCACTAATTGTCAAAATTATGAAGTTTATAATGTCACTAATCAATTGCCTTATTGTAAGATACAAATCTTGTTGACTGTAATACGAATTGCATCGTGTTTTCTATACATAAATCAAAACTCTACTAAAAATGCTTCAAAATTATCCAATATTAGATCATGTTGTTCTAAAAATGATAAAAACCATGATAAAGTAGAACTTGAAAGTAGTGTTCTAATAAACCTAACTTGTAATCCTTAAGTTGGATAAATTTGAGGTTGTAGTTCAGTTAATAGTTGTACTTAATTGATGAATCTTCAAAACTTAGATCTTGTGCCATCAAACTTCTCCAGCAATTCAATTTTTGTTTCCTTAAAACTTGAACAATGTTCTATTATAGGAACAATAGTATGGCTTGGTATAGATGTTGAAGCAACTCCAATCATCTCTATATCTTCATTACCTTATAATCTTGTTGCTCTTTGTAGTGGTAGACTGAGTTGATGCATTGCAAGCATTAATTCTTTCATTTTCTCTTGCATTTGAGCCATTGCATTCTTTATTTCAACAAGCTGTGCCATGCTAGCACAATAAAAAGAAACGTGTCTATTTTCAAAGAATACAATACTCAAGAATCAAGAAAAAAAAAAAAAAAAAATCTACAAACAATATCAATTTAGAAGAGGGTAATCCGTAACTTCTAATACGCTTATGTCTTATCAATGGAAAAGAGTAATCCACTCTTAATCAAGAAAGGACAAAGATCTAATATTGTATGTATACTCTTGTCAATCTATTAAGGACACAAACTAGAAGAAGATGCATAAAATCGTGGAATCTGTGTCAAAAAAAAAGTAACAAAATAGAAGAAAGTATGTATATTCAAGGAAGAATTGGAATCGCTATTGCCAAAGACTAGAAAACATAAGACTCTTGAAACTACACTAAAAGCAAGAAAGGAATTAACAAGAGTGAGGAAGACCTCACTCTTGCCTCTATATATACTACTTAATTAAGAACTATGTGGCGACATGCTATAGGACCTCTAATACGTGTCCAACTTGCACGACACATGTCTAATTTGCAAAGCAAGTTTCCTAGGTGTGTGCCATATGTCCAACTTGTACTACAAGTGGTCAACATGCCGACATATGGCCTCCTTGTTGGCCAAGTTTTCAACCTATCAATCACATATAGACATGTATAAAGGCAAAGCAACATCTATGAAGCTTCTAAGAAGCTTTCTACAAGATATTATCATATTTATCTACTTTAATTTATTTCTATATATTCTTATTATCTAGATAATTATCAGGATAAATATGTATGTCTATGACACTTATTTAGATAAATATGTATGTTTGTGATAGTAGCTTGTTGGTATAAAGCTTTGTTGTGCTTTAAAGCTTTCATTATTTGATGGCAATTTTGAGATAAGAGATTGGCACTCAATCTTTTTCAATTAATTCAATGAGTGTGTCAACAATTCTTAAATCAACAAGAATTAAATTGTATTTATATTCTAGATCCATCTAAAATTCAAATTAACAAACATATAAATTTTTTTGTAGTAGAATAAATTTTACAAGTATGATTTTTATAGAAATGATATAACTTAATCAATCTTCTTTTGAGGTTTTATATTTGCAATAAATAGCACTATAAATATTAAGTTCATTTTGAAATGATTTTTTTTCCTTCTAAATCAAAATTAAAGTAATAGATAATTATATTCAAATATTTTTTATTATAAAATCCATTATATATATATATATATATATATAATTAAAAATATACTTTTTATGTATTAAAAAAATTGACTTATTTATTAGATTGAAGTCAAATGATTATTTTTTTCTAAATTTGTATGGCAGCACTATCTTATCATAAGTCAAAAAACACTTAGCTTAGTAGTACCTTTATTTTAGGGCATGTTTAAGGTAGAAATACTTTTTCAAGTGGTCCTTCTTAATATTCAATTTTCGTCCTTAATTCCCTAAGGCATATTTTTAAAAGTTAATAAGACTACTTTTTAAAGCCAAATGAATTTGAACTTAGGGCCACATTCTTAATTTAACAAAATTTCACATGCAAACTACCTTAAGAATTTATGTAATATCTTGGTAGACCATCTTACAAAGTTGAAAATATTTTATATTAAAACATCTCAACAATACTCTTCAATATGGTTCTAGTATAACTTATCTACTAGCCTTATGTACCAACATATGTTTTAAAAGACATTTTTTGTAGAACAAATTTGATTAAAATAAATTTTATATATATATATATATATATATATATATATGTATTTTTTTAAAAATTGTACAAGAAAATTCTTTCGACTTTCTTCCAAAGAGCCACAAAGAAGTAAAAAGAGACATCTTTTAGAAGCATCATCAAGCTTTATTTCATTTCAAATATATTTTATTCTTTCAAAACATGGATTTTTAACTCTTATAAATTAGTTTTATCATTTTCAATACTTTTTTTTTATTTAATGAGGATTTTTTTATTTTTTTTATAATGTTTGTAAAATATTGTATTTTTATAAATCAATTTTTTTGTTTTATTTTTTATTCTTATTATATTTTTAAAAAAGTGAAATGACAATAATTATAAAAATTAATGTGAATAAACTTAAATAATATATATATATATATATATATATATATATAATTCTATATATGTATTAAGGAATATAAAACCACAAGACTAATAATTGTTGAACAAGACAAAATTGTCTATATCAAAATATAAAAATAAAAAATAAAAAATGTTTGTCTACAGGACATATGTGCATAATAAACATGTGCACAATATCCTTTTTAATTTTTAAGGTTTTCTTTTTCAATTATCAATATTATTGAATTGAAACAATAGTAATGAACAAGTCAAAACATCAAATAAAATTCAAAAAATCACAGATCACTTCATTTTTAAAATCATCATCAACAAGCATTAAAAGTCGCACTACAATATGATTTACTAACTCATAATTTCAAATTTGTAAGAGGAAGACCAACTTAGCATAAACAAAAAAAAAAAAAAAAAAAAAAAAAACTGATTAGAATATGAACAAGATACAATCTTTTTTACGCCCAGCAGGTAAAGCTTATCAATGGAAACATTATCTGATAAATTGCCAGATCTACAACAATACGAATTGCTTCTTCAAAAAAATTAATATTCATTTTTAGGAACAATTTTTCAGTTCATTCAGTACCTGATTTTCAAGAAATCAAGTTAATCAAAAAAAAACTGACACTTACAAAACACGTACACCAATTAACAATCTCCAAAAAATGCAAAGAATGTTTCCGCTTTAAAATCCAGAAAGTAGTGAAGACAAAGGAGAGACATCAGCAAAACTACAAAATATATGCGTTACAGAAAACTTTCGAGACTCCTAAGAAGCCTGTTTAGTTTTCTCAACGAAGAAATGATCGAGTCAATGGTTGCTGCTGCTCCGCATCATCAGCAACGAGGGCGGCGGAGACGTGACAGAAGCCCCACGTCGTGCACAATGGTTTCCATGCTGCTGTGAACTGTAGCACAAGAACTAGCCACCATGTTGTTCAACTATCTCACCATATCCAACTCGGAGTCTGCAAACTTCGAGGGACCCCGCCCTCCAGTTTTCAGTTCCTTCGTCAACAAAACTCTCACTGGTTCCAGGGATGCGTATGGTACGGTGAGTGTAATTTGTCGTGGACGCGCACATGTTACTTCTGCTAGAGGCCACAGATTTCACACTGTAGCTGGGCAGATGATTCGATGGTCTTCCTCGAAGAACAGTAACTTCGCTTTCTAGATGTGTCCCGAAGTTGTCTAGGAATTGGTAGCTGTCGAAGCTAGTGGGTTGCTCCACATGGGGTGAGATAGATATGAGGTTGTCGCAATGGGGGTGTTTAGGCTTTTTTGTTTCTCAAGTCGAAGCTGTCGTCACCGTCTAGACTGATCACTTGCATTCCCCCGGCGTCGGAGTGCTCGTGCTCCAGCTCCGCATTGACGGACTGCTCTTCTTCGATGATCATGGGAAGGTCCTCTTCTTCCTCCTTGCTCTCTTCCTCTCCCTCTTCCTCTTCAGTGGCAGTGTCTGGTGTTCCTGGCGCATCTATCTCTGTTTCTGTAGTTTCCTGTTCGGTCTCCGCGGCTGTCGTACTGCCGAGCGCCTGTTGCACCTGTCCCGCGACAGGGGGCGCTCCAGGTCTAGCGCAAATGCAGACCAGTGGGTGTTCGTGAAACTCCCCTCGTCCAATCTTCACCTCATTCGGATCGCCCATGAAGCCCTTCTGCACTCGCTGCACTTCGGCAGCAAACTCCGCCCATGGAGTCTGCTGGAATACTGAGAACAAGAGGTTGAGTTTTCTCACGTTTGGCCGAATGGTCCGCTTGTGGCCGTGGTATCGCCTGAACAATCCAAAAGACACTATGTTAGCCCTAAATCCAGAGCTTAAGGAAATCCTCAGTGATTGCGAAGGTGCGGAACTCGGCTAACCTTTCCCCTGCCAGTATCCGCGCCATGTTGCCGTTGTTATTCGTCACGAAGACATCGCTCTGTGAGCATACAATATAATCCACGGCTGCCATGCGGGAGGAATATTGAGTGAATGGCTCTAGTTCTTCCTTTCTGGCGAGTGTCTCCTTTGTGAAGTAGTTAGGAAATAGCGCCTTCAAGGGCGCAAGCGAATCTTCACCGTTGTAGACCTCCCCAGAGGCCACATACAGGTATGTGTCTTTTCCGTAACCGAGAGCTCGAAGCATGAGACCAACTTCTTTCGGCGTCAGCGGACATTTTCCATTGCGCCGCGCCCGCTCAAAATTGACGTGCTGTGCATCAAAAGCTGGTGATCAGTAAGCACACACCACACCACAACCAGGCTCAGAAAATGATTCAGATTGTCACAATATTTCATACATGAATTGTCTTCCAACGCTTGCGGAGCAAACCCAGTTCCGCAATCTCCTTCGAGCCTCCTCCATAGTAGCATCCCGAAAACGCTAGCATGTCTGATTCGTACCTGTAGCAATACAAAGCCCCATATCTACGATCATGGATACTGCTTGAGTTCTGCTCAAGAAGCATGATTCATTCAACATCTGCCACAGAGAGTGATTCAACATTTTGCCAAAATTTTGTAAGTTTCATGCCTTAGATGCAACGCAATGAAACGGCCGCCACTCTTGGCCCGCATCCTGTCCAACAGAGTCTGACCCATCGCCTGTATGTTGCTTGTAAATCGCAGTGCCTGAACCCAATCCCTGTTAGATCTCGTGCTTCAGGAGCACACTTCTGACAACCGTAACATGTAACATGTTTGGACAGAATAATTATAGAACACAGGTATGGTAAGAGAGAAAAAAAGAAAGTTGAACTACCTTGTAGTTGGTCCTGCATCTTAGTTTTTGCCAGTCTCTTCTGAGTCTATTTGACAACCTATAGTCAAATCGGTTCAATCGTAGTGCCTGCCACGAGATAAAGGGCAGACGAATGTAAGGTGAATGCAAAACCAGTATAATCATCGACCGATCCAGAAATCGCAAGGGACAAAGGGAAGGAGTGTTCTCAACACACCTGATGCCACATTCGGTTTGAAAATAAAACTCAAAAATAGGAACCATCAAGGAAACCCTATTCAACCATGTACCTTTCTTTTTTGCAGGATTGGAAGAATTTTCGAAAGGTAGTAGGCTGGCTTGGCCTTCCGTGGAACTCCTCTGGTATACACTGATTTTTCTAGACCAGGGTCCTTGATGACTCTGATATCTTTGGATACAGAAGAGATGAACCAATCCACGTCGAAGATATCGCTGAAATTGCTGTAAATTCAGCGCAAATATAACCAACATGAGAGACTAATGGTTCATTCGAAAAGCAGAAGGTTGAAGCCACAAATGGCTCACTGCAAATTGGTTCTTCAAAGGATGAAGGACTTGATTGCAAAAGAATCCTGCATAAGGATGCAATAGCCTAGCTCCGAGAAATCCTCAAACATCGAAGCAAGTGCCTCACGCAGAATATAATGAAGAACAACGTTATCGAACCTGTTGTCTTTCCAATATGATTTATGATCCAGCTGCGGGACTACAAGCGTGGCATTCAAAAGCTTCGCCACCACAACTGCGTCTGTAATCTGCAGTGAGGTGAAATTCACATTAAGTACTGTGTTGGTGTCCAAATATGATAAACTTTTAACCTGAAATAAAAGCTCTGGTAGTACACAACAGCGCCCCGAGAAAAGACAAGAAGCAATTACCCCAGTGCGCTGCTGGTTTAGCCCCCCACTAGCTGCAATATACAAGTAACCATTCGATTCCGGAGGTGGCCCAGCTGTACCAGAAATCACCAATTGAGGAGAGATGTTTCTGCTTAAAAACTCTTATTAGTTGTACATTGGCTATTGTAACGAGAGGTGTGCGACTAAGAAACAATAGTCGATATATCTCTCAGCATTTGTCCTAAACATTAAAATGACAATGATACGTAGAGCTTCATTTGGTTATAAAAGCACACACCCATCTGTTCAAAGGTTGGTTAGATCTGCAAATTTGCTGGTGCGGGTTAAACTTACAAGGAAAGAAACGACTGGAGTCACTGCATCCGTAGTACCATTCTGTATTTTCTGCCTCCCATAAGTACGCCCCTCCTACATTCCACCTCGCCTGCCTCACACAGACGATACAAATTGTATCAACGCAAGATATCTACCTTGTAAATTTCATATTCCCGGTTCCCAATTACGGCAACAATTGACTGATAGCTCAAAATAAGATGGCAGTAAAGTCAGTAGAACGATCTCAAGGACATTAGGCTTTCAAAATATTATATTCGTGACTAGAAAGTGAGGATAAAGCGGAGCAGGTCTTTGACTCGAAGCCACAACGAGGCTTCCAAATGTCAAGTGAAGACTGGAATTAGTCAATACAAAAGTCAAATTAAATATCAAGTCGTCCTAATCTCGCTGTGTACTGTACAGTGCTGACTGTATATTAATATTCTTTGTTAAGTCCTCAGTCACGCCTGAAAACAAGGACGACTTTTCCGAACTGGTCAGCTCACCGGTACATTCTGCAAGGTGCGCAACTCCTCCACAGGGTCCATTGTTTGGTTCGGATATTGAGCAGCTACAGCCGCTTGCTTCTGCTCGAAAGGATTACATCAAAAATAACGAATTTAGTATCTTAAAGAAAATTCGAACCTCCAGCTCAAGTGAAAGAATATTCAATCCGTCGCATAATTATTGAATAATTGGCAGTCACTCCTCTTGTACATCACTTTAAACTTATTCCTCCAACACATATATTACAACGAGGTCACGCATGAATTCAACCTCGTATTCATATTAAATAAAACAGAATAGATAAAAACACTCATTTCAAAAGAGGAAAAGATCGAGTGTCATTTACCTCACCAGGGGCCAGCTCCATGGCTTGCAACTTGGCTGGTGAAGGTCTAGACAACAGAGCCGAAGGGAAGAGATTGGTGCTAGTGGTTGCATTCTCACCATCAAGCACCCTGGCCGAGATGAACGACAAGATGGCCAGAGACAGAAGCGCCGAACCAAAGATCAACGCGAAGCTGGAGACTGCGGGAATTGCAGCGTTCCGTAACCGGATCTTACTTCGTCCCATCATCTTTTTCATGAATATAGAGACCTTTGGCCAATTCCATACCCTATGACGAACTCACCAACTAAGGATTTATATAAGTTCAATTTTACAGACAAGTTGGACTCATGCATAGGCCCAGAATTCGCTCATGAAATCACGTACTGAGGTAATTTAGAATAATTCATGTTACGCTTGCGTCAGTGAGCGCAGCTCCTCTTAAATTAACTTCAGATTCCAGCTGTGGAGTGCCGAGGTCTGCAAGAAAAGGTCAGAGCAACCAATTCACTGTTAGAATATTGGTCGCTAGTCTTTCGAGCTCCTCTCGAATGCACAATTCCAAAGACCCTGAGACGATCTCTCATCGGCTGCTGTTGAAGAATCAGACGTCGTAAGTAGCGATTTTTCTGCCAATTCACTATGTTGTGATAGTATTCATCAGACCATCATGAACTTGCTACTGGATATCACGCTAAGTCTCCGAAGTTAGTCAGATCGTGTCAGGAGAGCGCCCACAGCAGTGGCGAAAAAAATTACGAATTTCATGTCTAAATGGTTGAAGAACCGCAGATGTTTTGGGAACCAACGTTGCGAACCCCACAGATGAGAGCATCCGCCTATTTTTTAAAAAGTAGTTAACCAAGGAAGAAACAACGTGCGTTTCTTGAAGGAATATAAGCCAGAGTGGTGAGAAGACAGAAGGTGATGAAATGATTCTCTTGTAAATCGCATACCCACGAGAGTTTCACGGAGAGAACGCACTTCCGACCAATCGCACCGGAGGAGTAGGCAGCCTTCACTACTAAGTGCAAGAACTTCTCTCAGAAACCACACGAAAAACAAAACAAAAAAACAAAAAAAACAAAAACACAAAAAACACCTGCAAATCACCCAATGATTCCGTTTCTGCGACGAATGATGAGAAAATCGCTGCGAACCTGCAAATCGCAGAAACCAACTAACAGTCTCAAACACTTCTGGCACTACATCACGACGTCAGCCAACCACCGTACGCCACAGCGCGACTTAAACGAGCAAGCTTTCTAAAAACTCCACAGAACCACTGCCCCCAGCAAGCAAACAATTCCCATCCCCGCAACCCGACTTCTACGCCCCCAACCCACACCACCAGCTCCGACGACGAAACCAGACGAAAAAAATATAAATAAAGTAAATAAAATAAAAAACACCATCCAAGCAAGACAGAAGACAAGCACCAAACACCACGGTGCGCCCCCCACCTCCTCGAAATCCCACCAGCAGCAGCTCGTCACCGCAATCCACAATTGGACCCTCAACAATCGCGCACCGAGGCACCTCAGCACCGAGCACCGCAACAACAACACCACTTGGTAGTCCTCAACACGCACCCTCTCTTCAACTAACTGCCCTGCGACGATGCCAGTGGTTGATGAGATGAGGCAGCGATGATGTCCAGCGCGAGCGATCGACGAGGATCGAGGGAAGGATCACTCGCGATCATCTCTCCTACAAAACAGACGACAAAATCGAGTTATTTATTATTATAATGGCCCGCCTTCCTTCGTCAACTTGGGGAGTGGTCTCACCTCGTCGCTATAGCCTACAGCTTACTTACTGCTAGTCCCACTAATCACACGCTTGGGTTTTAATAACTCACTAATGCACAACTAAATCGGGGATAATCTGGAGATAAGCCTAGGCTCGGTGGTGCGTAATTGCGTCGGCGAGGACAGGGTTGGTAACCGAACCTGCGGCACCTAGGCGCTAATCTAGTAGGTCAGGTATTAGCATAGGCGACGGGTCAAGCGCGGGTCCGACGCTCCCGGGGCAGTAAAATCGCGGGTGGGGAAGCGGTTGCTATTTTCGGCGTTTTGTTTGAGAAAAAACATTTTCTCGTACTTGGAGAGAGGCTTTTGAATCCCTCCTTTTGTATTTTTTTCCTTTTCGGATTTGGCTATGATGGTGGTTCGGTGCGCACATGGTTTAGGGTTGTAGGTGGGGGGTTGTTCACGGTTGGGTCGGAGGAGCTGCCATGATTTTCTTCGGCATACAGAAGCATGAAGTGTCATCCTTGCTGTTGTTGCTGTCTTTGGTAATGTGGGTTGTGGAGTCCATCGCTGTATTCGTGTTGCCTGTTTCGGACGGAAGTTGGTTGGAGATGTCGGGATCTGTATGAGTGGTCTTGATTGTGGGGGTTCTGTGAGGGAAAAAGTCTCCACCCTAGGTAATTCATCTATCTCAGTCCATATATATATATATATATATATGTGCATTCATGCACATGCACACACACATACACACTCATACCTGTGTGTGCATAGATATATATATATATATATATATATCTTAGTCATTATATCTGTATGTATGTGTATATATATATATACAGATTTTTTTTATTATTATTATGAAAGTGTGCAATGATTCAAGATGTGGATGTTTCAATTAGAGCAAGTCAACCAAACAACAACAAAAAATTAAAAGACAATAATGTAATGAAACTGCTTCTGTAGGGCCTGGGCAACTTGCTTTCTCAAACATCCATGTGAAACCATAAAGTCATTCTACTACACATTAGAAATATACATTGCGTGACGTGAAACCTACTGGAAAACCATTGGAGTTGGGTTCAATTTTTGCGTATTGCAGAGGTCTTTATTTTCATTTGTGGATAGGAGGATGGATAGAAATTCTATCTGAATAACTTGGTATAAATAAAGAGCAATTAGCAGCCGAAAGAATATTCGAGGTTATAGGTTTCCAAATTTGATTGGAAGCAACATTCTATTCGAGTTGGGCGACCTGAAGGGGATTCTGCAATTAGCCATGGCCTGCGATTCCGATTGCACGGAGCTTTGCTTTTGGCCTTCATGGTGATTAAATTAGGGAGGTTGAAAAAGTAGAGTGCGATCAAAACGGGGTTCCGCTCCGAGCACTTGTAGACCTGTCTGTGGTATCAAATACACCTACTGCTGCTATAATAGAAGTGATAGTTAAGATTCCTGGCCCACTTCTAACCACACCACTATTAGATCACAATGCTAATTGTTTTACGTGCATTCTGAATTTCATTTACTGTAACGAATAACATGTCAAAACTTTCTTTTTCTACTACTTCATCTTCTTCTTTTTTTTGGTAACAAAATTTCTGAGACATAATCCCATTCTTAATGTTTAACTTGAGGGTCAACCTCATGGCGTCTGGGTTGGAGAATTAAACTTTTCAAATCAAACTTTGTTTTCTTGTTTCTTTTTTTGGTCTGCTGAGTTTCTAGTGAAAGCATTAAGCACAGAGAACATGAAGTGCAGCAAGTTACCAGAGACGGTGACGGAGAGGAGGAGGAGGATGACACGGGAGGCTTGCATGTGTGAGAGCGGTCATGCGTAATGCATGTGAGGTCAGTGGTCCCTGAATTACTAAGACAACCGATACTTCACTCTGCATCGTCGAAGTGGGCAATTCGAAAGCTTGGGAACTAACAACGTACTCATAGAATACCCGTAATTGTGTCAGTGTTGTGCGACGCTCCTGGACAAGCTATTGTACAAATGCAGTGTCAAATTCCCGTGAACCTTCAACCAGCGCCACAATTCATGCGAGTCCTCTACTGACTGCACTCATCTGATGAGCTGGGTCATCTGTTGACCTGGGTCATTTATTGACTTCCACTGTACTTCACTAAGATTCGACGACATTTACTGTTAACATCAGAGAACCGGCCTAACCTGACCATGTACAAACTAGGCAAAACCAATAGGAAATGGAAAGTGACCTGATTGCTGACGATGATGCAGAAGAACAATGTGGCGAGCCCAAGCCAGACTCTAGTGAGCAGGCTGAATGACCTCCTCGGCTCTCAAGCTCGCGATGTGCACTTGTCTCCGACGCTGTGCCAAGTAGTGCCGATGTATTTTTCACCGAAACCGAAAGGGATCTTAACATGGCTTGCAGGAGACGAGCCGTCCAATGCTCCGGCGCTCCACGAGCCCATGCCTAGAGTGCATCTGCCTCCCCAGTTATGCACCGAGATGAAACCTGGAGGTACAAAGATGACCAAGCTCAAGAATGGCGTTCGCATTGCGTCGGAGAATTCTCATAGTCCTATATCAACTGTTGGTGTTTATATCGACAGTGGGTCGGTTCACGAGTCACCCAACGTTGCTGGTGTCTCGCACCTGCTGGAACGGATGGCGTTCAAGAGCACCAGCAACCGATCACATTTTCGTCTGGTTCGTGATGTGGAAGCCATTGGCGGGCACGTCATGGCGAATGCGTCGCGGGAGCAGATGTCTTGCACTGCCGACTCCATCAAGACGTACATGCCCCACATGGTAGAGCTGCTGGTGGACTGCGTCCGGAACTCCATGTGCTATAATTCAGAGGTGCATGACCAGCTCGTCCGTGTCAAAGCTGAGACTGGTGAGATTGTGAACAATCCTCAGAGAATATTGTTAGAGGCATTACACTCAGCTGGTTATGCTGGTGCGCTGGGACAACCGCTCCTCGCACCCGAAGCATCACTCCACAAGTTGAACGAAGAAGTCCTGTGTAACTTCGTGTCGCAAAACTACACTGCTGGAAGGATTGCTTTGGCGGCATCAGGATGTGATCACGACGAATTGCTCCAAATCGCCGAGCCACTTCTGTCTGATATGTGTGGAAGCGGACCCCCAACACCTCCAGCAACGGAGTACGTAGGGGGAGATTGGCGACAAGCAGCAGAATCGCCGAAGACTAACATCGCACTGGCATTCGAAATTCCAGGTGGGTGGAGGAACGAGAAGGATTCGTTCGCGGTGACGGTCTTGCAAACTCTGCTGGGCGGGGGAGGCTCCTTTTCCGCCGGAGGCCCTGGCAAAGGCATGTACTCACGCCTGTACTCCCAAGTGTTGAACAAGTACGAGCAAGTGCAGTCCTTCACGGCTTTCAACTGCATATACAACCAGCCTGGCATTTTCTGTATACACGCCACCTCCGGGTCAGAGTTTGTGCCACACCTTGTCGATCTAGCGACAAAAGAGTTCATTGCAGTAGCGACGCCTGGCGAGGTGACGGAGGCTGAGATTCAGCGTGCAAAGAACATGACAATTTCTGCAGTGCTCATGAACTTGGAGTCAAGCGTGGTGGTTACCGAGGACATCGGTCGACAAATCCTCACCTACGGCAACCGCAAGCCCGTGGCTGAATTCATACACGGTGTGCAGTCGTTGACGCTAGCAGATCTCTCCAGAGTCGCACAGAAGATTATCTTCACTCCACTTACAATGGCTTCCTGGGGTGATGTTACGCAAGTTCCTAGATATGATCAAGTTGCCAATCGGTTTTCGTGAAGTACAACCTGCAAGAAACCTCAAAAACTGCTCGGTTGTTTCTGTTGGAGGGTATTGGATCCCTGTATCAGAAAGACAATGTGCTTTACCGTCAGTTTATGAGACAGTTGAAGAAGTGGTGCATTGCCACAAGCTTGTGTGAAAGTTACTGGATACAATCAAGGAATCATCCTGAACTGTAGAGTTCATCTGGTTGAGTATTCAATCTTAGACAAAACCCAGATGAGAATTTATGGAGGGTTGGGAATGTGCGGAAATCATCAAGGGATAGTGCATAGAAATTCACCGAATGCACTGTAGCTAGACATGTTTTATATTTGTTTTTGTTTTTTTTATTTTACTTTTGTCGTTTATTTGTTGAAATGGACCCTTACAACTTCATAGTTTTTTGTTGAATCAACAGAAAGAGAGTTTTGGTTTTCAATGAGGACATGATTTTGTGGATTTTTATACCATTGACACAAGTAGTCTGAGGACGCATTGTCTTAGAGTAAAGGAAATGAATTCTTATTGAGGGGGTGAAGGGTGCATCCAACATGACAATTGTAGCTGGTTAATCGTCAGGCTCTTTTTATGAATCGAATAATGTGGAAAAAATACGACGATTTTCTCTTGACGTGTGCTCTTGCAGAGGTAGCCACTTTTTCAGCTTGTGTGAGAGGCATTCGGTGAGTTACTATGCAAAGCTTATTGCACGTTGTATGCTTCAGCAGCTTAACGAGCTTCTGCATTCTGTTGCATTGCGAACTTCGCATGCATGCTGAGTACTTACTTTTTACACGATTCATCCTTGCCTCAAGGTTTTCATCACGTTTTCCTGTCTGGTGCTCGAAGTAGTTCAATGGGTTCAAGTGCACCATCACCAATTTTTTTGTTGAAATACTGCACAGTTTTTCGCACGAGCCTTTAGTCTTCATTAGTAACCAGCAAGTTGAGAACAGCACCAATCGACATTCTAACACCTCCCCCCACCCCAATCAAAAACAACAGTAAGGTAAACTGATCACTTAATTATGCACCTCACTTACCCGTTCTCTTAGGAGGCCTTCATAAACGTAAATATTCCATATCTGGGCGTTGAGGAGCTGTGACTTTGATCAGATTCAGCCAGTTTTCGGTCTCTCTACCCTCAAAAAAGGGGCAATCATTTATGGGCACACAACTGTACTTAAGACGTTAACTTCCCAAAACAGTCTTCAAAAGAAAAAAATTTACATGTGGATTAACGTTATATTGCGAGAGATCTTCCGAGTTAAAAGGAACTGAGGATGTTTTCAAACAAATCCTCCAGGACGGCTTGCAAGACAGATGTTTGAACTCTTACTTGAAAGGGAATAAAATAGGCCCCACCTTTTCTACATCTCCGATGCAGACATGTTTAGAAATCAAGTCAGGCACAAGCGTTTCTATTTGAAGAATGTGATGTTTGTTTGTAAAGAATGATCCAAAAGAATAAAACTGCACTGTTGATATTCAAAATCAAAAGGATATCAAATGAAACGGTCAGTGGATGATGGACATGAATAATAACAAACCCAAAAAAAAAGGAATTTAAAACTCATAGTACAAGATTCTATCAAAAAATAACAATTTCTAATAGTTGTGTGAACCATGTAACTAGACACTGCTAACTTATTACAAAAAATAAGCCTTTTTCTATTTCCTGATTATACGTTTTGTTTTGTAGTTATTATATAATTGAAAAATTATATGTGAAGAATTCTTTTTGAAAACTCTTTTTAATGATAGAATATCAACATGTTTCATTAATAAAGATTTTGCCAAAAAAAGGTAATTGTAAAGAAAGTCTGTTTAGCACCCTATCAAAGTCATTCTAAATTTAGATACTCTACACTATAAAAGCTAGTCATAGATTAGCGAACAAAAAGAGGAAAAGAAGATTAAGAAGGTAATATCAAAAGAGAATAATAATAATAAATAAATAAATAAAACTACAAATGCAGATTAATATTTTTGAAATATTTTGGTCAAGTTTTAGTAACCAATTTAGCAGACGTCTTCATGTATTCTAAAAATAAAACAGATTGTCTTAGAAATAATTTGCAACCAAATGGAGGGAGAACCCTACTAAAGGTGATAGTAAGAAAGGGCCCAACATGGTTTTAAACATTAGTTCTCTTAATTACACTTTGATGATAAATCTAAGGTAGAGGGGCAACAAACAAAGGTAAGGATAAAAAGGGGATCATTTCGTAATACATATGCCAACAAATCTGGTAGCAATTCATGAGGTCTGAAATACCAAGCGATGAACCCCTTAACAAGAAATGCAGGTCTCCCGTCGAAACAAAAAGATGTTGAAAATAGTAGACTTTATACTGGGTAAATTAAGTACAATGAATCGAAAGGTCCGAGTGGACCATAGTATACCCCATCATTAAAACTTAACTGCTCTCCAATTCTCTCCAAAACTGTTGTGTAAAAGCACATGTACGGACTCGAGAGAGGAACTAACCTCCAGGTCTCTGTACATTTCCCTACCTCCTCTCATAGGCTTAAGGCTCTTAAGTTACCGCATTTGGGAAGGAGAGCAGAGTAGACCTGAAGCATCCGCCCCGACCACAGCAAGATCACAAACAGGGCATAACTTGTGGAGGGTTTCTGGAACAAATCGTGCCTTGCAGTAAGGACACGAAACGTCCTTGCTGCCACGGTAAATGGGGCTGTAGGTGGCCCCACACACGACGAAAGGGTTCCGAGGATCGTAATTCAGCTTCATCTCATCCCTTGGATTCTTCTCACACACTTGGAGGACCTGCAACAAAACATGATTAATAATCCGACAATAAAAGTTGTAAAGAGTCGAGGGCCATCAGGTGGTTCAATGTGGAAGACAATTTTCGTTACACAATGGCGACTGCATAGTTGATAAAAGAAAGCCGTAGCCTTGTCTTCAGAACATAAACAGTCAAAGAAATATCGTCATCACAGTTAGGATTCATGATAGCTTTAAGGCAATAGGGATGCAACAATCAATGACTCGTCACAAGTGCCTACAAGAATCTTGTTGCCCCGATCAGCTGCATTAAAGAACAAAAGGTTGGATATTAAAATTTTACCTGGCGAGCCGTTCTGGCCACATTTGGAGACAAGCTCAGTTCAAGTAACCTTCGCGCAATAGATCCAGCTGTGTAGTAATTCTTGGCCTTGAAACATATAGACATAGCTGACTGCAAACTCAACTTCAAATGAGTGGGCTGTAATTGACAGTGTGTAAAGTAAGCAGCAAGCTCAGATTGGCGTAGTAAATCATCTTTCAAAGCAGGATCTTTTCTCTTAAGCTCGATCCGAAGTGCAAGTGTGTACTCCTTCGCGATTCCCAGAAGTTCCTTTACTTCGTCAACTTCTTTGCGTGAGTCCACCACTACGACAGGGATTGTATGCAAGATATCAAGAAATAACCTGTGGGTTAACGACAATCATCAGATGAATCCTGAATATTTCAAAGCAAATCGACACACAACAACCTTTCTGCGGTAGTAACAGTTAAAAAACTTCTACTCTACAAATGACACACTGAAAAGTAAGGAGATAATTGCAACCCAAGAATCTGAACATGTTGACACATACCGCAGAGCATCGGTGAACTTGCCCTCAGTAGTTGTCTTGTATGCAACCTTAAGCTTCTCTTCAAGAGAGGAAAGCTTGGTCAAAACAGCTGGTGATCCCTTTGCATTAACTGGTAAACTGTCACTCCAACCTCTCTCCAAATACAGGGACAGAGCTGGCACTGATACTAGAGTAGGTAGAAGAGACTGGTTAGCAAGATGGAGTTCCAAGAAAACATTTTTCAAAGGCTTAAAGTTCTGGATTCCAAGCTGACGATTCAACAATCTCATTGCTGGGTCAAAAGAGCCAGCAGCTGCATGTTCTCCCGCAAGAGAAGTATTCTGAATCCAATTTTGACTCTTTGGAACCCCTCCGGTTGGAGTAACGAAGTAGGCAGCATTAGGTGCAACCTCTGGCACATTCGCATCAGCTGGTATATCTAAATCCTCCATTTCCCAACCTCCCTCCTCATCGTCACCTGGATCGAAAACATGAAGGTGAGTTAAATAACTGTAGCAAGTACTTCAAAATGTCTCCTCCACGTTTCAAGGCATTGCTGCGAACACACACAATAGAGCATTGTCTTCAGATCACACTTACCTCTGCCCTCTTCATCAGCAACAAACACCCCCTCTCTATTTAGAGCCTCGTCTGGTTCAACAATGTCTATATCTGCTCCCCAAGCTCCGGCGGCTCCATCATCTTCTTCCACGTCACCTGGCCCAGCAGCATCTGTAAAAGCACCCTCGAAGTAGCCCTTGCTGACCACCAGCAAGGGCCAGTTGTTCTCCTGAAGAATGGGTCTAGGGGGGATTAATAAAACCGATCTATCTGCCTCTGGAAGGGAAGGAACATTGTCACCAAGTTGCTGTTCTAACTCGTCAGCAACTTCAATCAATCCATGAGCTTTGGCGGTGGCATACGCCAAAGGCAGTTGGTTGGATTCCTCCAAAATCCTCACTCTTTCTTGAACATCCCCAAGGTAGAGGGCATTATGAAACCGGCCCATGACATCATTGCGCATCTCTGCAATCTTCAGCATCTTTCCAAGTTTCTCCACGTTGCCAGTTATAAGATACAAGAAAGAAAGCCTTTCAAAGTTCTTTGTCTTCTGATATGCATACTCCACAATCTCGTGATTGCCCTGGAGAAAAAAACTAATTGTTACGAACTAAAGGCGTGTAACGAAGTAATTGCCAAAATAACAATATCTCTCCTTCTTTGGCTGAATTTGATGTTCTTACAACTTCATACTCTGAAGGTGCATTTGGGACCAATCTATTTCTCATTGTATATTCTACCTTAAGAATTACGGACGATTCCTATTTGCTCTAGCTCCTAGCCCCATTTAATATTGTAGAACCTGATTTCTGCCTTGCACACTAAATACAACAGAGGGGATGCACAAAGGAAGACGCATAATATATTTGCACACGGAGGGGATCATGTCAAATTGTAAATCCTTGAACTAATGTAGAATCGAGAGGAATAAAATCAAGGCTCTGGCATTTACCTGGCGCAGGGCCTCAACACCAAGACGGTGCCAGCATTCCTTCTGGTCAATCTCCTTCGCTGATGCCACTGCCACTCCAGTGTTGCCACACTCGATGGCCAAGTTGAAGCGAGTCTGCTCATCCTTAACAAAGTGCAAAGCAACCTCCGGGAAACCCTTCTGTTGCAAGTATGCAATTATGGACTGTCCACAGAGCTGCAAGCTATGGATCATTTGTAACACCTGCGTAGAGTTCAACAATTTGTTTATCACCGACGACAAGCTAAAACTTCCACGCCAGAACAGGTAAATCTAGATTCAAGGAGCACTAGAAATATGTTCGAACAACTCAAATCTTAGAGAAATATCTGCCATACTTTTAGGTCTGTCTAAACACTATTTTTTTCAAAAGTTACAACAAAGATTTCCTGTGAGCGTTACGAGACTGCCCGCAGAGCACTAGCGGAAGGTTTGCATGCGCACTTTTATATCGACAAAATACACTGCAAATAGTATACCTGGTCAAACTTGCGCTGGATGAGTGCTAGTTTGAAGGTGTACTCCGTAGAATCAATTTGAATCACTCGGTTCTTGCCATCGCGGTCCAAGCAGTAAATCGAGTTTCCGCCAACTTTCGTGATGTACACTGGAATATCTAGAGTTCGGATTGTCCCGCTATCTCCATTTGGCAAGCAGTACTTGATGTGATTGAGGGTGGTATATATGAATACACCATTCTCATCCCATGCTCCACTCTTCACACGAATAGTCTCATGAACCGTGCACTTGGGCACAAGCTTCTTAGTGGCCATGACTATGACATATTTGCTTAGCAGTGCAACATTCTCCATGTCACTTGACCACACCACATACTTCACTAAAGGAGCGCTGACCTCTGCTAATGTGGCACGCTGCTGCAGATCGAAAAGCACAACTTTGTCCTCTGACCTACAAAGCAGGTTCCCAGTTCCTGCATAGAAGATCACATCCGTGCTTGGAGACGGCAGAGTGACTTTCTTGGTCAATTCATTTTTCAAGTTCTTGATGAGAACCTGGTTCTGGTTTTTGTCGAGAACAGCAAATCTGTTTCTTGCCACAAAGACCGCAGACGAGCCCAACCCACGCTTAGCCTCATGAGCTGCCTCACTCCTGCCCGTGCCCTCTTTGGGGATAATATAGAGCTCGTAAGAACCACCGTCAACGTCAGAACAGAGCAATACTGCGTTCTCCGCTGGGTTGTACGAGAGGGTCCGAGGTCCCTGGTTCAGACCCGTGGAACCTGCTCGCCGAATAGAGATAAGGGTGTTATCTCTGCCAGCAAAATCATAAGTGCGCAAATTACGGTCCTTCACATAGTATAAAGTGTCTCCCTGAACAGCACAAGCAGGCCTCTCTCTCTCCAACTTGAAGACGATCATTCCACTGTCATGACCAGCTGCAAGAAGATTCATCTCTGGATGTGCTGAAAGAATCCAGAACCTATCCTGCTCTCTTCGGAAGGTCTGAACACCTGTGCGCTTAGACATATCCCACACACGGATGCTCTTGTCCTCGGAATTTGACACGATAATATCTTGACGGGCGTGAAACATGACACAGGAAACATTGTTCACATGACCTCGCAGGGTATCAACCTCCCACGCCTTAGTATCTGCATCGCAATTGAAATAAAATAAATTTACGAGTGTTTACAGCATTGTGGGCATGATAAAAACATTGTAATCCTGCACAAACAGTGCTCTGCAGGCTAAAGAGCATTGAAAATTTTTACGTGAGATTTCACAAGTACCAATGATCAGTAAATCAATGCATACATAGGAAATGATTTTTACTACGCAAGTACCGTTCATTCTCCATAACTTCACTTGACGATCATCTGCTCCAGATACAATAAGCGGCAAGGAAGGATGAAACGATGCCCAATTGACTCCCCTGTCGTGACCTTCTAGCACATACTTCACAACAGAATCACCTCCTCCAAAAAGATCAGTATTCATCTGCGTGAGGCGAAGCATGTCTACAGCTGGAGCCACAGACTTCTTCCTCAATGCTCCAATATCCCAAACACGTACAGTCTGATCCAATGATGCGGATACCACTAAATCCTCTTTAATATGGAACGATGCGCACATCACGTAGTGGTTGTGACCAGTGAGTACAGAAATGCATGTGCGTGATTGCCAGTTCCAGATGCGAATCGTCTGATCATCACTTGCACTCACAATCCAAGGATTCTCATGGTGGAATTGCACCGTCCGGATATAGTCCAAATGACCCAACAAAGTAAACAAACAGCGCCGCATCTTGTAATTCCACACCTTAATCTTGTAGTCATCCCCTACATTCCCGGTTCCCAAACACGTAGAGCACAATATTAATACAAATTAAGTGGGCATCGCACACAAAATCTACATAATATCTTCAATATGTGGGTAATCTAATCATGAAATCGGACTACTCACTAGGAGGAAAAGATAAAAATTGAGCAGAATATAAGAATGTAGAGATGCTGCGGCAGGTGGAGAGCTTTACAAGAGAACAACTCGCCCAATTCTTAAAATTAAATTAGATTCGTTACGGACGAAAAGACAGTTTCAATATACCGTCATTTTCTTTTAGCAATTCATCGGCTCGACGCCATGCTAAATGTGAACCCTGACACAACTGCAGTGAAAACTCGACTTAAGAATTCATTTTCGACGGGGAAAATGAAATAAACAAAACCTACAGCTCACAGGCATCCCGAGATCTTGCCACAAATGTAAAATATTCGATGATTTCACATTGTATGATTTCCCAGACAATGTGGTAACGACTCCAGTGACTTAATCAAAAGCCAATGCTCTAAATGCACTCCCAAAAGAACATAAACAGAAGATCCTCGCCCCCAAGGCTATCCAGAACACTAGAAGCTGGTGAAGGACACTGGAATCTAACCTCCGGAGACAAACAGAGGCTGCGACTTGTGGAAGTGAACACCACGCACTGGTCCGTCGTGCTCATCGAATCGGTCGATAAGCGTCCCCATTCGGTAGTCCCACAGCTGAATGATACCGCTGTGCAAACTGGCCAGGATCCATGGCCGCCGCGGGTGAAAGCTGAGCCCCTTCACCCTATTACTCTTCGTCTCGAACTTAGTCAACATTGTGCCAGATCCAGTCTATTTTCCGCTCCTCTCCCGTAATCAAAAAGGAGACGAGCCGACGCAACGCAACCCTATCTATCTCCACACAGTCCAGCGAATCCTTTCTGCACAAACATTTCCGCAACTAATTCCAACAAGAAAACACACACACACACACACACAAAAAAAAAAAAAAAAAAAAAAAAAACCCTCGAGATACTTCTTCTCTAGCTCGCGTTTCTTCGCCGCTCCCCCAAATCCACGGCCGCGACTTCTACATCAAACTACACGTGCATTTCTCAACCGGATCGCAGCATCGAATGGTCCTGCCAGGGCCTGCCAACGAGGAGAACCAATCCAGGGAACTGAACGAGCACGGCAGTGTCGAGACGACGATGGTCCTTTCACCAAAGCCAGGGTTCTGCCTTGTTCCGCTATTCTACGTATTCTACGTGTATTCAAGCTCCCATCGCCACGCATCGTCCCAGGTCGACCCTAAACCCTCCGTTCGCTTTGCGGTGCTTCTAAGTAAATAGAACATAAGCTGGGTATCAATACTGGGAATGTGGTAGTGTGGTCTATTTGTGTAGCCTGCCCAACGAGGATTATATTCATTTATTTCTAATTTTTGTGTTTATAGCCAAATGAAAACTTAATTGTTATATATATATATATATATATATATATATATTCATGTGGTCAATTACCCAAATTTCAAATAGGTGCAAATGTTGATATTTTTACTTACAAAATAACTTCTTCAATCATTTTGCTGAAAATATGTGTATGTGTTTATGTGTGTGTGTGTGTGTATATATATATATATATATAAAGTATTTATGTTTATATACAAATGTATGTGTATAGACCATGCAACTTCAATGTGAACATTTTTTATCATAAATTGAAACTCAATGCTTTCTTACAAAGTACAACAACCTTACTTAATTTTCATGCTTATTCTCTTAAAACAGTTTTAAAGTTACATGTATGTCTAAATATAGGTTTTCGAAACTTACACAAACCAAAATGAAGTACTTGTCAACCGATTTTTGTTTATTAATCAATTATAGTCTGTACTGTGTATGTACTTTTTTATGTTTTTTTATGATAATTTGGTAGATGTATATAAGAATTGATTATTTAGATTTGTATTAAATTATGCATAAATAGATCAATAATCACTTAAAAGACAAAAGCCAACCACATAAGCTGCTTCATTAATGCTGTAAATTATTAAATGATGTTTAATAAATTTATAACTGATGCTTATTCAAATGATGAGTATAGAATTACTAAATTTCCAAAAAGAATACAAAAAATAATATGCTAAAAGATACGTGTTAGTTAAAATCAACACTTAATCTAACATCAATTGCAAATATTAATCAAAGTAAAACAATTGGTAAAAACAGGGGCAGAAGGGTTTCGTTCAGTAGTGATATTTATACTGAATCATTCAAAATTGCAATATCAAAATTTAAAGTAATAATAAAAAAATAGCACAAAGTTTTGTTTTCTTAACTTACTCTCATGCTAAAGCAAATCATTAATGAATTATAATTCAAAAAATAAAAATAAAAAATAAACGTATTTAAGTTCAAGGCATCTTTGTTGCAACTTGGTGAAAATTGCAAATTACTCTATGAGGATGAATGGTCGTGTCTTATCAGCATGAATCAACATCGTGTGATCCAAAGTTTTGTATACAATACAAGCATGAAGTTGATATACCCTGCAAATGATAATTGATAAAATTAGACGTCAGATCATATGATGTTGTACAAATACCAAATAACTTACACTGTTTGAAGAAAAAACCTACTGTATACTTTTCATTTTTAGTAACATATATACTTTAATTGTTTAAGTTATTTGTGATATTGTAAATACCTTGTGAGCTATGCTTTTTATTCAAAAAAATATACTATTCATGAAAAGAAAATTGGAAAAACAAAGTACATGAAATGTATCCAATTTTTTCCGTATTTTAAAACAGGATTTTAAAATAATATTGATGTATTTATAAGATTATAAAACGCCTTTTCAGAATTACAATATTTTCAAAAAAAATGATGAATTCACTTTTTACTTGATCTAGATACGTAAAAAAATACCTTGTACTATTCAACACTAATTTAAATAAATAATAATACTAACACAAAAATACTTAAAAAAAATAAAAAATAAAAAATACGTGCTTTTTACAAAAAATAATGGTCAAGTGAAACAGATCTTAATTTTACTGTTTTTTTTGATTATTTATTTTATTTATGGAATGTTAGATGTTTATAAGTATATATCCTTTTGTTTAACTTCATGTAATCCAATAGTTTTTATTTTTGTACTAAAGGAGAAATAAATGCTGTGGCACAGATGATCTTTAAAATAAATAAATAAATAAATAAATTTTTCTTTTATGTTTATTTATATGTACATATGCAAAAAATTGTGTCATAAAACTTCTATTCATAAAAATAATAGTCTAAGATAGTTTCAAAGTAAAAGCATTAGTTTTATTCGTTTTACAAATTTTATGGAAAAAGTACTTGCAACATTCAATTTGATCTGTATATTTTTTATAAAACTATTCAAAACTTCTTGTGTACTTCGCTAAAAACAAACCAAAATGAATCAATGTGAAATGAGAAGTCATGAACATCATTTATATCTTTTAATTACACACACATAACATCAGTTTATAGTATTAATCTAAAAACATACCAGAAAATTACTTATCTGACTACGATTTATTGAATTAGCGTTTATATTTTCTTATTTATAAAGTTTTTATTTTGAATAATTTAATATCAAAATTCTCCATTATCAGAAAAATAAATAAATAAATAACTACTCATAGGAATCCAAATGAAGGCCATTTTTGTAAGTACAATCAAAACTGTATAATCTGATTTTAAGGAAATAAAATCCTGTAAAAGTTTACCAAAAATGAAAGTTTAAATTTAGAAAACTTTTTTAGTAAAATAAAACAAATAAAATAAACACATCAATTTCACATAGGTATTATAAAAATAATCCAGAAGGAATTACAGATGACTTCAAATTTTCTTTGTTGTGTATTAGATTTTATAAATAAAATCATCTCATAATTAATTAATATTTTTCATTAACTTTCAGTGAAAGAATATTAATTTTTTGATTAAGATATTATTAAAATTTTAATTACAAAATCGCACGGTTCCAAATAATTTTTATTTTGTATTATTTTTTTAAAAAATGGTTTAAAAAACAAATCATAAACATTTTAGTGCATAAAAAATAAAATATTATTGAGTTATATAAAAGAAATTTTTTATGGTGTTTAAAGGAATAAAGACAACAATACTTTCTAATTCCAAATTATTGGACACTACTGTTAAAATTTAAAATATACTTGCAATATGACTATGTTTTCACACTTTGCACAATGTTTGTTGATGCAATCTCATGCATCATTAATAAATTATTATAAAAATGTTGTTAATCACAATAGTATATATTATGCATTAACGATATTTTATCATAATAATATTAATGATGATACAAGTATCTACCACAATGGTATTTATATGATTTTGTATCTTTAAAAAACAAATAAATCATATCATTATTACATCTTATAAATGTAAATTTATTTATTATTAAAAACCACTTTAATTTTTAGATGTATTGATGATGTATTTTGTGCAAAAATGAATTTTAAGAGGTTTTTAGACTTAGAAGCCCACTTTGAAAGGTTATGGTTCAAGAACCTTATGAAGATTATTTACTTGGTGAAGAAAGAATCTCATTTGAAAGCCTTGATTTTTGGAGATATTATAAAGTAGGAGGAGACTACGATATGATCTAACTATTTATTAGAATTATTACTATTCTATATAGGAAATTTTGTATTTCAATTGCATAAGTTACACAAAACATTAAAAATTTTATTTTAAAATTTAGAATGTATATTCTTAGCAAATTTAACAAAACTTTTAAAGATTCTTTAAAAAACCACCTCTTAAAACATTTTAAGCCTAACACAAAATCTTAGTAAAAAGTACATTCCACCTTGTTTTTTCTCCTCATGGCATCTTTGGTTGATTTTCCAAAGTATATAACCAACTAGATGAGGCTTCTCAATTTTATTCAATCACAAGCTTTCTAAAATTGAAATCTTTCACCTTCCCTTTAAAACATAAAAACCCCTTCATTTGAACATACAAATAAATTCACTCACAGCAATAAATATTCTTAACTTTTGAAGAAATGATTTCACAATTCAATACATTAATCTTATAAATGTGTCCAAAACTTGGTAGAAGAGTGAAGATATAGATACCAAAGGTTTTAAAGTAAAATAATTAGGTGGTGAATTGAATCCAAGATGAACCAGGTCATAACATAATGTGAGATACCAAATGAAAATTGGCTAAGTCTATTTTTAATGTAACTTAAAACTCTTGATGCATGACCTACATTGCATTAACAGAATTCTTAATCAAAATGAAAAAAAAAGAAAACCCAGTTCATGAATTTGTTTTAACTATTCCAATTGTGTTTGATGTAGTTTCATTTCCATTTGCAGACATTCTAAAAAATGAAAAAAAAATGCAAAACACTCAGAGTTGAAATAAAAAAAACAATATCCATCTATTTTCCAATCACATTATTATTGTTATTATTATTATTATTATTATTATTATTATTATCTCATTTTATTAAAAATTGATAAACATTCTTAATACATAACACATAATTTTGGTCATTTTGATTATTTCCAAAACTACTAATGCAAAAGAAAATATGTTTTACAAATTGGTTAATGAAATTTTGAACCATAAATATTTATGTTCTCATTTTATTCTACATATTTCAAGTGTATACATTTGTATATACTCTCTCTCTCTCTCTCTCTCTCTCTCTCATATATATATATATATATATATATATATACATATACATAATTACAATTTAGTATGTGTGAAAACTCCTTCAATTTATTGTGTCTAAAAATGGTGATAATAACAAGAAATTGCTCTAAATGTATGAAACCTGTGTCTTGCCATGTTCACCACCATCACAAAATAGAGGAATAATAACAAGTAACTTATTCTGCATATTCCAAAGAAGAATAAAGTCCTAAATCATCAAAGCCAATATGTTAATAGTGATAATAATATTAGGCCAACTAAGACCAACATACCATAAGAACTGTCATATCTCTAGTCTCTCATGCCCCACAATTTAATGGGCCATCTAACAAATTCATGACACAAAGTATTCGGTGAGAACACTATACTGTAAAGCTAAAGTTACCTTTAAAGGGGAAACCTATATTCATCAGAGTAGTTCATCCATTCATTCATTCATTTATTCATTCATTCTCCTTCAAGACGAACTGGGATCTGGAAAGCAGACACGCTATCGAATGAATGAAAATTCACATACGTTCCACTGAATGTGGGCTAGAGACGATTCACGGATGAACAGACACAAGGGTGAGGATGAATGAAACCTTACTATTGGATGAATGAACCGGATCGGAGAGGGGATTGCGTCCGTGCTGCGGGGGGCGAGGTTACTCGTTGATCGCATCACTAATCTCGCCGGTATTGCCTCTCCTATGCCTGCTGCAATGCGGGAGGAGCGTGTTGTCACGATCACCGCAGCGTTCTCCTCTACTTCTCCCCGTTTACGGCACTCGATTTGATGCTGCTTTCGCCAAGTTTTAGCCATGTGAGGGAAGAGTTGGACGGTTCTGCCTCAGTTGGAGCATGATGTAGCTTGGCGCGCAATTTTGTTAGTTAGCGTGTTTAATCTTGCGTTTCTTTTGAAATGTCTGGATCGATTCACGCTCTCGGTGTGCAATCCGGCGTTGCGGCCTCGAATTGTGCGGTTAGGTTTGTGTGTGTATGTGTGTGTTGAGAGAGCATCAGAATTGGAGTTCTTAAAGTCTGCTCCATTTTCCTTTTTCTAGCCCTCTCACTAGAAGGTTTGCGTTAGCTTTGATGCCTAGTTTCTGAATCCATTTCTGGTGTAGGCGTGGGTGTGTGATGGTTTGGTGCCTGTCTGTCAGAAATTCATTTGATCTCGTAGCTATGGAGCGCGTGGAATCCTAGAAAGCATTGGTTCGTTTACAATTTGGAGTTCTCAAGAGGATCTGATTGTTGAGTATTTGATCCATATAGGAATTGTGCTTTTGTCGGAAAATCCTATGTGATCGAGTAGTGAATGTACCACAGCTCGGCATCTTTTTTTTCGTTTGGTTCTCTATTGTGTGTGTGGTCACAATTGGTGAAATGTCCACGACAAGTAGAAACCAATCTGCAGAGTGGTATGTAAAGCAGTAAAATTTGAACTCAGAAGTTACTCCGAGCGTAAGATTTCGGTAGCAGATGCAAGTCGTACCCTAGTTGTTGTTTCTCAACTTGGAGCATTTACAATTCGACAATTGCATTTGTTGCAGAATTTGAGCTTGACGAGTTTATGGTTGGGCTTATTTTTAGAGAAGTTAGGGAAGCACCTTCAATTTATTTTGCTAATGATAGTTGCGCCTGTTTCTTATGAAGCAGTTAGGGTTGAAGAAGCGGACGTGATTTTTAGGTTGGTCGGTGCTGCTTGCGTTCAGCGTGGTCAGACTGGCATTGAACATTGTACATTTTCTTAAGTTTCTGATGCTGGTGGTGTATATCTTTTCAACTGCTGCTATGTGCGGCATTTTACGTTTAATGTAACATGTTATTGTAATACCCGAGGATAAATTTCCGTAAATGATCGCTATTTGTTGAGTGGAATAGAGGACAAGCATTCCCTTCGGCAATGTCTTGGTTTTCCAGTACCTTCTCTCTATCTGCACCTCCTATGCCGGAGGAAGACAGAGATCAAGATGATGGCGATGACAGCCCACGAGGCCAACGAGTCACGGACGAGATCTCTGTATTGACCAAGAATTTGACTCGATCGCTCTGGGGTGTAGCATCTTTTCTGGCTCCTCCTCCCACCAACGAGATGGAATCTCCGAAGCACACGAACACACCTCAAACAGAGATGCGTAGCACGATGATTGCTGAGAAGTCGGAAGTTCCTCAAGTTGGTGTGGACGTGGTTGCAACAGAAGAAAAGGGGGCAACAGGGTCTCCATCGATGGTTGGGGTATCCGTAGGAGAACTTTCTAGTCTCGAAGAAATAGAGAGTTCTAGCGGCGGGATTAATAGTTCTTCAGCAAGTAGCTCTATCAGTGTATCTGGAAACATTCTCACAGGTGTTCGAAGTGACTTGGCTGAACTGAAGGGCACTATGGCTACTGGTTTCTCGCGAATCCAAACAGTAATTCGCGCCGTTACTCAGGATGAAGACGAAGACGAGGATATTGGTGCCGCGGAAGTATCGCTTGCGGGTGGCAGCGTGTCTGGCTCGCCTCAAAATTTGGGAGATGACACATTAAGAGATATTGGACTGACTTCCTTGCTGAAGCCACTGTTGGTGAGCATGTCGTCATTTCGTGGGAGGCTTTCCAGGAGCGAAGGAGGAGGAGGAGAAGAGTCGCGCTTGGTTGCAGTCGAACAGGGTGAAGGAGATATGGATTACGAAATTCAGCCAAAGGTTTTACGTTTGAGATTATTATCAATTCCTTTGTTTTCAGAGAATTGCGAGTTGTTGTATTTAGTAGGACAGTTGCATACAATTTATGATGAGCGTACCCTGACTCTCTTATCGTGGAAGCTGTATCTTAGTCAGCAGCCGATAAGCAGTACTTACAATATACCATCAGGACTTTATTAAAAATTTGGGATAGCCGAATGCGTACTCCAGAGTTTCTTTACTTGTGTACGTCTTTAAGGAAGACTGTTAACGCAATGAGAAATTCTTGAGGTGGTTAGCATGCATTCCTAGGTCCCTTATAATGTGTTTTTGCATACTAATGGTAATCGCCTGAAGATAATTTTTATTGGTTGAATGTTGTAATGTGCAGCCGACTGGTCGTAGTTCGCTTGGGGGCAGTATTGGTGGTTTGTCGAGACTTGCCAACAGCTTTATTCCCTTTGCCCGAGATATTGTCGGAGAAATTTCAAGAAGAGACTACTACGCTGTGGGATTAACAGATGAGGTTGTTTCCTTCGCTGATAATATTGCAGGGCATCCGGAGACATGGCTAGAATTCCCTTTCCCACAAGACGAAGACGATGATGGTAAGTAATGTGGTTTAATTCATGCTGTGGGCTCCTCATTGCGTTGTTTATATATAATGGGTCACCCTATGAAGAGGTTATGAAGAGGTTATATGAGTACACTGCAAAACTGAAACGTTGATGAAGCGAAGTTTGTTTACGATAAGAGTCGTTCAATGGAGTTGTGTTCTGTCGGTTGGACCTAGAAAAATCATTTGGGTTCGGAATAGACTACCTACATTTGGATTGTGGATAGAGTTTCTTAACCTGTTTGAGGTTTAAAGATATGTCGTAACAATGCAGCCTTCTCTTCCACTTAGAGCTACAATTTCAAAATTCGAAGCACTGACTGTTTTACAAATATGCCATGTTTCATTGAACGAACTTATTTAACATTTTTCAACAGGTAGTAGTCACGCTCTTGATTGTATTTGTGATTATTTTCGTAGTGGAAGCAATATTCACCTCCGCCCACATTGCCTAGGTTTTGAAATGACGGAAATTCAAGAAGAACACACCAAAGCTGTGGAGCAGTTATCGTCTAAGCTGGAAGCAGTGCACCGTGAGCTTTGTCCCGCTTTTCTCAGTGATGGTCGCTTTTGGAAGATCTACTTTGCGCTTCTACACTCGCGCCTAAGTAAAGAAGATGCGGAACTCCTTTCCACACCACAGGTATGGTGTCTTTGATCGTCAGGGGAAAATCGTTAAGTTACGAGATATTGAAGTTTCCTTTGAATGTTTGCAAGGCGCAGTTGTAATGCATTTTCTTTTGTCTTCAGATTTTAAAAATCAGGGAACTACTTTTACAACCTAAGGAGTCTAGGTCTGACACAGCCTCAAATCAGTGTGAGCGCGTGTTGCCTGGCCTCACCGAGTCGAACATGCGGGACTTGCTCCTTAAGTCTTCTGTAGATTCTGCACCTTTACCCGTCATGGAGGAGGTGTCACTAGACGATGCTTCTCGTCTCAATTCAGAGTCATCTCATGAGACTGTCTCGGCTGCGACAGAAGTTCAAGATTCAAGTTCTTTGCCCACACTATCGTCAAAGCTGGACGATGATCAGAGAGAAGTAGATCCATGGCTTGAGGACGAAGACAACGATGTCCAAGAAACTGCCGACAGAGGTCTGATCAGACGCTCATGATAGCGTTGAGTATATTATTTGGTTAGACTTTTCTTGTTAAAGTGCATTCTTATCTGACCTTGTTTGTTTGTACAGGGGTGGCGATTAGCATAGACGAAGATGTGTCTTTCAGTGATCTTGAAGAGGATGATGAAGACCATAAACTAGAGGTACTTCATCGAATGAAAAAACCTTAAATCATGTACATACCCTCTAAGCACACCCTATTATTATTCTACATATAATTGTTAGGATGGACTTTACTACAAATTAGGTAATTGTTAAAAACGAAAGGAACTTTCTCTGAACAGGATGAATCCCATGCTGTTAAAAATGGCAAAGAGCGGACAAGTAATGCTTCACTAGGAGATGCGTCTTTTGGGAGCAAACCTGAAGGCGACTGGCTCACGATTAACATAGAAGATGCTGCCAGTGTGACTTCCTCGTCTCCCTGATGGTGTCCAGAATATGGACTTGCGGATGCAATTCTAGTAAATAATGACAAGTTATGTCAAATTGGCTTATTTGCCTCCACTTTCATCAACACGATCAGCAAGATGGCGTACGAATTCGAAGCCGGAAGACGGGTTGGGTTTTGGAGAGAATTTGCACTGCCTCCTTCGCATCAGTCCCTCACTGAATGTTGGTAAAAAATACCTTCCTTGGTAACTAGCAGATCAGATACCAACGTTCCTCATAGACCTTCAGCAAGTGGTTGTCTTGTTAGAATAGGTTCAATTGTACAGGGTGGCTTTTCTTCAGAGCTGAGAGTTCGGCTCCAACCGCTGGCTGCGCCAGTGCCAAAAGCAGCAATTGTCTCCTTGAAACATGGTTTTATTAATGTAACATGCGCATTTTCTCATCATTTTTGCACAACTGCGGATCGTAGTTTTAGGAATTGCAATTTCTGAACCATAGCCCTGTTGCAGAGATCGTGATCATTTAGGATGGATAATATGGTTTGGAAGTTTTTTTTTGACTTGTCATTTCCATCACGGTGACATGGAAAGCTGTTCGCAGACAACTTTCTTTCGCACTAGTGGAATATGGTGAGCACTGTATATCCAACTGGGTCACATTAATTTTTGTACCACCTGATTAATAAATCCGCACTATGGTGAATGAATGTTCACCAGTACTTTGAGTTCATACTGACATCAGACATGTGGTTACGTGGATTCCAATGGATATGTATGTTGGGTGTGGATCTGTGTCAAGTCTTTTCAATTCCAATGTTGCAGTGAAATTAATATGTGCTAGACCAGTAATCAAGGAGGATGAATATTTATATGAAATGTTCATTGAAATAAAAATGTTCATCCATCTCAATTTTTTTGGTGTGTTCACTTATCTTGGCAGTTTAAGAGTGATGAATCTTAGTAAAGATATTTTATTTCAAAACCATATAGTCGACATAATAAACAAATAGCAAAAAAGAGAGATTATGGTCAGCTATTTGTGCTTAGATTTGGACCTTGGACTTTGGACTCTCATTTAACAAATATACCAAGCTTGTAATAGTTGTTGTTTTTTATTTTTATTGATTTTTGTTATATATATATATATATATATATATATATTTCGATAATTTTGAAATCACTGTCACGGACACAGAAATACAGACTCGAGATCAAACAAGAAGTTCAAGAAGAACTGGCAAGAACTAGATTAATTAGATGAGAACAACACCAGAGAGGTGAGCTAGAGCTCCAAGAGATGTGTTGTCGAGACTGAAGAACTCTTCAGCCTCGATTCCAATATATACTTCTATTTAGGAAGCTTCTCAAGCAACTTCTACCAACTAGGAAGCTTCTAGAAGGTTCCAGAGACTTGCTTCTAGAAGGTTCTAGAAACTTGTGTCTAGAAGGTTCTAAGGATTATGTCCCTAACATCACCCCCTCCTTTAGCTTCGAGGTCTCTGAGAAGCAATGTTGTTGATCAATACCAACGCAAGAATATGAAGATCTGTCGCATAACGTCTGCTATGAACTCCAACTGTTGTTCACGAGGCAAGTGGTTCATCGGCCCTTGAAGCCAACAATAATGGCCCACTCCTTCAACTTCTGATCAAGCATAAATTTCCATGTCCTCATTATGAAATTGTCCTGCAAACACGCCTTCTGGCTGGCCATCGTAAGCAGGCTCGAACTCAAATACAATCACCAATGATTGGTTATTCGATATCCTTCGTCGTCGTCGTGATGTAGGCAATTCTTCATCTCGGGGTCGCCTTCGTGAGCTAGTCGGTTGAGATAATCTCACTGGCATAGTATCTATCTCTTGGCTATCCATATCAGAAGACCAAACTATGGCTACTAAAAAAATTCTATTTTATCTTGGAGAAAATAACTACATCAACTACGAATTTTGGTGGTGCTCTCCCCCTTTCTTATATTCTTGGGTGAATAAGCTTCAGAAAAAAGCTATCATTGTCGTATTACGTGCTTTCCTGCTCGAGAACGCACCGGGTGTCTGGCTGTAGAAGGTAGTATGGACATTCGCTAATATTCAAGCAGTCTATCGCGTTTTGTCTGTTGGAATATAAACAATTGCAAGAATATACCATAAATCTATACGGATGTCCTTCGACTACTTGCCAAAATCCTTTTTGTCCCAGCCGGTAGGTCTCTAGACATTACAGAGAACTCCAAACAACCCAATCTGCTAATCTCTGATACCGCTTTATATTCACGACCTTGTATCCCTTGATTGTCTTGTTAGATTAACCCAAAAATTTTCCTTCACTCCGCATACTCAATCCTGTAGACACCCTTTTAATTCTTCAATCACAGACATAACTTCGATTTCATAAAACAGTCAAGAGTAATCACACCCACTTCATTAAAACCCCGATTCACTAGTACAATACTGACTTTCAGCAACGATTGCCTCAGTCTTCCCAAAATCCTATGAAGAAAAAAAAAAACCCCCCAATTCTCTGTCTTTTCTCCCCTCCAAAGCATGAAGCTAGCTCTCCCCCCTTAAAAACCCTGATTCTCCTTCCTTTTCATTTCTTAACCTATCCTCCCCTTTAATCCTAATTCTCCCTTCTTTTCATTTCTTAACCTATCCTTTGAATTTCTTCAATCTTTCGTCTTGGATCCGGAATTGACTCCCTCATCAGAGCTTTCTCTTCCATTTTTTGCCTTTTAAAAGGTTCTTATTCTGGAAACAACGTTCCCTGAAACGGCACAGAGAACAGAACTGCCTGAAACGGAATCGAAACCCCCGTAATCGAGACCACATTGAGTCACCCGACCAATTCAGGTCTCATATTGGCTAAGAGGCCCGTAGTAAGACCTGGATGTTCCCGTAATTGAATCAAATTGGTCCTTCACGTCAGGCTCACTCAGTCATTGATTTAGTCCTTTCAATTCTATTGACTCCCACTATTGGACTCGAATGGAGTATTTCGTTACTGGTAAGTATACCCTGACCGATTGTGACAGGGTGTCTGAACTAGCCCCTGAATATTGGCACTCGAATCGGTCGTTGCTCCCAATATTCGAGATAACTGAACATTAATAAAAGTCCCCTTTCTTTATATTTTCACGGTATACTCATGTTACAACATGACATCCACCCCCTCTGAACCTATGCATCCTCCGATATGCACCAATTTACCCAATTGCTGTTTGATTTATAATATATTCTCTACGTCTATGTCCAATTCATCTTCGTCACCTTCATTATCCAAATCACTTTCATCTTCTTGCTGCGTACCTAACTTGCATAATACTCCTTCAATATTATATAATCTTTTTCTTTCTTTTCTTTTAAAATCATCAACTTTCTTATACATAATATTTCCATTTTCCAAAATACCAATAAAACTCACATCAAAGGCACCTTCATGTCGCAAGAGTACCTCCCCTTTTGTACCTCCATAATCTCGCTTTATAGTGGTACCTCCCCAAAATCCTTAAATCCTTCAACAATCTTTGGCAATGGTTTCTCCCTCAACCTATCTCGATTCCGTTCATGGTTAGGAGGTACTGTTAGAAATTATACAGCTTTCTTCCCATCTTCGCTACGTACCCTTGTATAAGCAGAACCATCGTCAAGTACTTTTGTTTCCATCCGTGTTGCTGTAGTATAAGGTTGTCCTATAATCAACGGATAAGATGTTGTATCTTAAATAAAGAAATGTTGCTCCATCGCAACATCCTCAATCCGAATTTTGACATCTGGACAAGCTCCATATAATTCGCCCTGTGTGTTATTAGCTGCTCGTATTGCCCATCCATGTTGTATATCAATTGGCCATTTTTGCTTCTTATAAAGATCTTTAGACATGAGATTTATTTCAGAACCATGGTCGACTAAAGCAACAATTGGTTCTTCTATATCTCCTACTTTCACCAATACCTTAGTAGTTGTCCTTGCCCAATGCTTTCGAGTATAATGGCTCAAAGTTTCCATTTCCTTATCACTATAATCTTTGAAACATACTCGTTGATTATACCCATTCTTTTCATTTGTTGGTTGCTTGTAACCAATATCAACCTTTTCTTCATCTTTATATATTTTTGCATCAATAGCATGACTCATTCCAGTTTCACCCTTTAATTGCCTCTTTCGCTTAATGCTGTCAATGATAACATCATGAAACTCCTTCTTTGTAATTCTCAAGACTTCTTTCAATGTGAATTCCACATTAGCATTTAATATACGTTCTTCCAACACCCCTTTCAAATTTGGTGCCGCTTCAATGTCACAAAGTAGCTTATAAGCAATTGATTTGCCCTTATCTTTTGTCTCCTTTGTTTTTTCTCCCAATGATGCTGAGGTATCCTTTACAGGTAATTCTTGTGAAGCTGCCTCCCGAGCCTTGTCTCCTCGAGTTTTCCTCTTAGAAGAATTTCCTTTTCTAGTATCATCAAAATTTCCTCGTCTCTTTTCTTCCATCAAAGCTTCATGTTGGCTCTTAGCAATATATGCATGAACTGAAAGAGACTCAACAGGATCCTCCCAACCTGTTCTACCTCGTATTGTAGCTGCAGTCCTCAATAACGCTGTCGTGTTGTAACACAAGTATATCGTGAAAGTATAAAGAAAAGGGACTTTTATTAATGTTCAGTTACCTCGAATATTGAGAGCAACGACCAACTCCAGTGCAAATACTGAGTGGCCAGGTTCAATCACCCCGTTACAGTCAGCCGGGGCATACTGAAATGCTCCGTTCGATTCCAATAACGGGAGTCAGCAGGAAGGAAAAGGACCAATTCACACGACGGGTGAGCCTGGTTCGAAGAGCCAATTGGATCCAATTTCAAGAATCCAATCCGGGTCCTCTTATCCACTATGAGACCTGAATTAGTCGGGCAACCCAATGCAGTCTAATTACAAGAAAATCCAGGTCTTACTACGGGCCTCAGCCAGTCTGACACGAAGGACCAATTTGATCCAATTTCGGAAATATCTAGGTCTTACTACGGGCCTCTTAGCCAATCTGACGCGAGGACCAATTTGACCCAATTACGCGAACATCCAGGTTACTACGGGCATCTTACCCAATATGAGACCTGAATTGGTCGAGCGACTCAATGTGGACCCGAGTACGGGGTTTCGATTCTGTTTCAGGCTGTCCTATTCTCTGTGTCGTTTCAAGAAACGTTGTTTTCGATAAATGGATCTCTTAAAGGTAAAAACGGAGGAAAAAGCTGTGATGGCGGGAGCCAATTTTGGATCTAAGCTCTGACGATGGGAGCCAATTCCGGATCCAAGACGGAAGATTGAAGAAATTCAGAGGATAAGGTTAGGGGGAGAATAAGTTTTTGGGAGGTTTTTGAAGATCGGGGAGAGCGAGCTTCATGCTTCGGGCGGGGAAAGAAGACAGAGAATTGGATTTTTTTTTTTTTTTTT